AAGCCATACCTTAAGGCCTCCGAGCTAGCCTTGGTTTGGCCTTCCTACCACTAAAATCCAATGGATTTTTAGTGGTAAAGATGTGGTTTTGAGGTCTCAAGTCAGAGGGGGTGGCCCCCTCTCTTTTGGTTCTTGCTTGCTTGCTTTTTTGGCCTTCCAAAGGAGCATGCCTCTCTGCATTTTTGAGGCTTGGTTCAGGCCATTTTTTGTGACTTCTAGGACCTTCCTTGTCCCTGTCCATGGCTTGTTTGGTCATATTTTGCATGCATCTTGTATGTGTAGTGTAACTCCATTCATAGCTCATCAAAGTAGCATGTTTGCTTAGCTTGTGTTGAGTCCATTTCAGTAGGTTTTTGGTGATGTTTTACCATGCCATGGATCTTTTTTTAGTTGGTTTTTCCACTTCATGCTTGCATAATACACTTGTAGTGTAAATCCCCTAAACTAGCTTCATATGCTTCATGCTTTGTCATGTCATGTTAGCTTATTTGGTTTACATTTCAGCATGTTTTTGGTAATGTTTTGCCATATCATGACCCTATCCATAGCTGGTTTGGTCATCCTTTGCATGCTCCATATAGGTGTAGGACAAATCTTGTTTACTAGCCTCTTGTGCATGATGTTTTGACTCATCATCCTAGCGTATTTTGGCTTTGCTCTAACATGATTTTATGCTTATTTTGAGCTGTTCTTGGACTGTTTTAGGCTGCCATGGCTATATCACTCATGCTTTGTATAGCTGTAGTGTAAATGCTTAGGCTAGTCTTGGGTTTTGAGGGCCCTACCATGCCATACATGTGATGTTTCCATGCCTTGCCATCGTTTCATATGCTATTTCAGTCCATGAAATGTAGTCATACACTTGCATTTGACATGCTTTGAATGCCTTGTAGAGCTTGTGCTTTATGCCTCAAGAATGGACTTTTCTGCATGCCATTTAGCCTAAGCCTTTGGCTCATCATTTCAGTGCATTTTGGGTCTTATTATACCATGATGTAACTCTGTTTTATGTTGTCCAAGTCATGCCATGTTTGCTTTCAATAGGTGTAGTGCATTGCCTCATTAAAGCCTTGCATGCTCCTTGTTTTTAGCCTTTTGTTCTAGCTTGTATTGGCTAGGTTCTAGCATGTTTTTAGCCTCACCTTGACCTGCCTTGGGACTATTTTAGGTCCCCTTGGCCCTTTGGGTCTTTCCTTGTATGTCCATGGCTTAAGTCCCCTTGCTTACTTTGGGCTTTGAGCATCATAACGTGCTATGCTTGCATTGTTGAGTTGATTTGGCATCACTTTACATGAGATTTCAGAGCTTACCTCATTGCCATATATCCATGTTTGTTGCTCCTTAAGTGTGCTTAAGAGTTATCCTCTTTGTGCCTTAATACTTGAGCCATTTGGCATGCATGTTTGTCTTGCCATTTCATGCTTTTCATGCCATCAATTCATCACTTTTGGCTACTGATTTGGACCTATTTGAGAGCTGTCCATCTTTAGTGTAAGCCCATCTTACCATGTTGTCGCATGCTTGTCTCATTTTCGTATGTTGTCGCATACTTGGTTACCTTTACATGCCTTGCATGGTTGCATGTTCATATTGCATTTTGTCATGTTCTCCAAGGTTGTTACCTCACATCATGCTTATATGCTTGTTGCATGCTTGAGTTGGTTGCATGTTTGCACACTTAAGTCATATTGCATTTTTGCCATGCTTATGTGTTGCATTGTTTGGATTAAGTGTTAATCCAAGCACGAGGAACGAGGGACGTTTCATACTTCGAGTGATGGAATGTGTCTCAATCCTCGGTCGCCGAAGCTCTTGATGATTCATGATAGAGTTTTAGGCCAGCCTTGTTTTATTTGTGCATTCATTTTCATATTGATTTGTACAAGTTGGATCTTTGGCCATCATGCATCGGGATGCGTGATTGATAGTTGTGGATCCGACTATGCCTCTCCCTTGATGTTTTGAGGTGATATAGGGTGGCATAGTGTGTACATACCTTTGGGAGACCCTCCCTTTTCTCTATTTTGTGCTTTGTTGCAGCTTGGTGTCACAACACACCAATGGCCGGCAGTACACCATTGATGGCCGGCAGCCTCTCATCCCTAGCCGGCAGTGTTCCATCCCTGGCCGGCAGGTGGCCGGCAGTGTTCCCCCATGGCCGGCAGGCCACTGGTGTATCCCTCCAGCAGTGTTTTGGTAAGTTTCAGCAACAAACACTTAAAGACACCCTACAAACAGAGCCTCTAGAAGAGCAAACGGAAGGCATTTCGAGGCGAGAAACCGAATGCAAGCATGCATACTCCTCTTCTTCAAACAGAGCTGGAATAACATTGTTTACTGCTTTCCCTATTTGTTTGTTGTTATTCATAGTTAGTTAATTAAGTTGTGTATTAATTAGTTGTAGCTAGTTATTCATTTGGTTTTGTAATAATTAATTAGCTTGTTAGTTAGTTAATTAGGCGGCATGTATTATTTATTCGGACCCTCCGTAGAGAGGGCCAATTTTGTAATAAGTGTGCGTGCGTGTGTGCATGTCTTCCAACCTCCATTTCTTTCTCCCTTTTACTTACCTACTTTTGTTGGTTAGTTTTAGGTCATTTTTCAATTAGCATACTTATGCTCTGCATGTTTGCATCCATCCATTTGTCTAGCATACTTATGCTTCACATGCGTGCATCCATCTATTCATCTTACATGCACCGGGCTCGGCACATCATACAAACTGCATTGTATTTCAATTCCAATTTTGAATACGTGTATCTAAATCGCATCTCATATGTCATCTTAGAATAGACGAGCCTATTTCTAGTTGCATTCTGTATGTGTTGTATTAGCCATTTTAACATGAACTAGGATCATGCCTTTGATTACTAACTAGTTTCTGTTTTGGCTCGGAGTACTCTGTAAGTATTCATGCTTTAGCATACTGCATGATTGCCATGCATATCATGCTTACCATGAGGCTAATTGCTTATATGATATAAACTGCCTGAATGTCTATGGGTGAAGGTTGGATTACTTGAATTGGAATAATTCATTGAAATTCGTGATTTAGCCTACTTACGAGTAGCAAAACTTCAAACCATTTTCCAAACAAATGGATATGCAATGCTTTGTTCCAAATTAGGCAACCTAGTCTATACTTGTTTTGCTGTGCGCATCACATAGTAATTCTAGCTAATTAATCGGAATAAAAACGCATGTGTTTTCAAAAACAAGATATCATGGTTAGTAGAGGCCAATCTTTGATCGGGCGAGCGGGGGTGCTCATAGCTGACCTTCCCAATCGTACCCAAGTTCCCAAGCCGAGGCAACTTTGCTGATAGCGGACACGTGGCCTTAGGCAAACGAGTCAGGGTTTCCTAAATTCCCCAAAATAAAATATTTGGATGGCGACTCTATATCTGGCAAAGCAATCCATGTTTGGCACTTCTTTACAAAAAATCAGTTTTCCAAAACGATTTGTCGGATTTGGACTCTTTGGTGATTTATCAGTCTCACATTGCACATTGTGAGATCAGATTAAGAACCGTGACAAATTGAGTCCGAACTGTGGAAAAGCATAAGGCCTCCTACCCCGGGGCGCGTCCACAGATAGGCTCGGCTATTCTAAGATGTCATGTGAATGCAACTCAATAACATGTATTCAAATCGGTATTGAAATACAATGTAGTCAGTATGATGCGCCGAGCCCGGTGCATGCAATATAGATGAATGGGTGCACGCATGCGAAGCATAAGGATGCTAATTGAAACATGCCCTAAAACTAACCATCGAAAGCGGTTAAGTAAAAGGGAGAAAGAAATGGGGGTTGGAAGACATACATCACACACACACACACTTATTACAACAATACGCCCTCTCGCAAGAGGGTTCGAATAATAAACTAACTAGCTACGCTAAGCTAATTAAACTAATTATTACAAACAAAACTAATTAACTAATCCTAGTTAACTAATTATTACAAAACAAGCTATTTAACTAACAAGTTAACTAACTAGTTATTACAACACAAATTAAATAGCTAAACGCATTAACTAATTAAGTACAAAAACAAAGCATTAGCTAGCTAAGCAAATTAGCTAACTAAGCAAATTAGCTAAGTAAAGCAGTAAAGAGATGTCCTTGGAGGGAGAAGAGTGTATGCATGCTCAGTCACCTCGTTCGGAAATCTGTCGCGATGCCCCAACTTGCCTCTGTTTTCAATTGTTCTAAGAACACTGTACAAAGCTCCAGATAGCTTTTGCTCCACCATAGGAACCTGTAAGAGGGTGGCCGACCAGTTGTTGATGTGGGAGACCACCTACCGACCACCTATGTTTGCTATAAACTAGAAAAAGTGGTCAGCCAGCCACTTTTACTGGTCTGCCGACTACTTGTTGCTACACTTCTCCAGTTTGCTGCAACAGAGAACAAGAAGAGGCATGACAATGTATTTGCAAGATATGTGTGCACAACCACCCTCCCTATCATTTCATGATCTCAAAGGAGTGCGGTTCTCGACTCTCAGGCCACCAATAGCGCATCTCGATGTGTGATGGCCAAAGAGGCAAGATTGCACATTTCAATGTGAATGAATGCACACATAACACATAAATGCCTTGGTCAATCAGAATGTGCTTTACCTGGCATCCTCCAATCTTGAGGGATATCACCAGAGCATCGTTGTGTGGATGCTACACCGTGTCCAGATCGGCCTCAGTAAAGGACACAATCGGTCCTTGGCACTCGATTTCCTTGGGCCTTTTCTGTTGGACTTGATATACATGTTGTAAATGTTTCACCCTCTGGGTCTCCCCACATACCTCGTTCTAATTGACCCTCGAGTGAATCACATTGATCACTCAAGGTTTGTCTGCTTGTGGTTGTGGTGCTAGTGGAGGTGGTGCAGCAGGTGCCTGGGGCAATCTCGTCTGTTCTTCTGGCATCCACTAGGTCCCTCAAGTGGCCTTGTCTAACCAGATCTTCTAAATGTGTCTTTAAGGCTCTGCACCCTTGAGTCAAGTGTCCATCTTCATTGTGGTAAGCACAGTGCTTCTTAAGGCTTCTTCCCAAAATTTGTCAGGAATCTTCTCTAGTGTTCTGTAATATAGTTGGTTCCTGATCCTTTCTAGGACTTTGTAAATTGGGATCCGGAACACGGTGGTGACTACCTGCGCAGCTCTCAGCCCTATTTCTTGCCTATTAAATCCAGTATTACCTCTGCTTTGCTTTGGCCAACCGTTTCTCTTCTCCTGCTTCGGCGCCTTTGTTCCTGACGTTTTCTCTTCTACTCTGGCATATTTTTTGATCCTTGCCATGAGCTCCTCCATACTCTTTGGTAGAGTCTTTGCCAACGACTTCCATAGCACGCAATCATCCTCTAGGCCATTCTTAAAAGACACGACTGCCAACTTTGGGTTACATCCTGGTATTCGGTTGAACAACTCGTAACACCTTTTGGCATAAGCCCTAAGGCTTTCACCCTCGCCAATCTTCAAAGCCATCAAGGAGTCTACTCTTAATGGCTGCAACTTGTTTGTGACAAACTTGTCCTCGAACATCTTGGCCAGGCCTTCCCAACTCTTCACAGTTCCTTTCGGCAACTTGTGAAACCAGTCTGATGCGATTTTCTCAAAGAATGAGGGGAATACCTTTCACAGCAAAGGTTCATTCCCGGTATACAACGCTATTGAAATTAGGTACAAGCCGACGTGAAAGTTAGTGTGATGACCGGGTGTATTATTTGCCTCATTCTTCTTTGTTTAAATTTCACTTCGCCTTATTAAAGTGTCAGGTTTGACTTAGAACCCTGTTAATCACTTCGATTTGTGGTGTTTGGAAATTGTTTCTCAAAAATTTTTGTTCTTGTTTATTCTGGTATTGATTTTCACTTGTTCCGGAGGGTGTGAGGTTGGATCCGGAGTGTCTGGTGTTGAGATGGAAATTTTATGGGCTGGAGGACTGAGCCGCACGTGCGAGGCCTTGGGCCGTACATGCGGGAGAGGGGCTGCACGTGCGGAAATCAGGGGAGGACCTAGGTGCATACTGAAATAAAAGCACGTAGGGCAGCAAATGCGGGAGGGAGAGGGCCGCATGTGCGGAGATGAAGGCCGCACGTGTGGGAGGATGCTCCACACGTGCAGGAATGGGTGCCGCATGTGCGGGACTCCGCTAAGTCCGAAAATTCTATCTTTTCTCTCTTTTGGGGCTGAGCGTATATCACTTTTTGCACATCTCTCTCTCTCTCTGAAAATCATTTCCTCTTCCTTCGCTCTACATTTCCTACACCAAACCTCTCAATACTCTTGATCTCCTTAGATCTATTGCATTTTTTACCCAAGTTCCTTCATCAAAGTTGGAGAGCTAATCGAGGGCTTCGTTGTGTGCGGTGAAGATCGTGTTTCAACATCGTCGATTTTGAGGGTTTCATCTCATTTTCTTCTCCAACTTAAGGTAGGGATGTTTCTTAGAGTAATGTATATATTTTTGCAAGTTTTGGTTAATTTCGAGATTTCCTCTTGATTGTTTTTGAAAATTGGTTTTCGGCTTAAGAAATTGGTGGTTTTGTACAAAGGGTTCATCTCTTGTTTTGTTTAAAAGGTTTCCTTGAGGAGATGAATCACATTGATTTGCGAAGGATATTTTTGGTAAGATTTTACCAAGAGATAAAGGAATGCATTGTTTGGATGAAAAACCTAGAAATTTGAGGGGTTTGGTGGATGTTGAGAACCTACGGTTTTATTTGTACTAAATGAATGTTTAAGTTGAAATTTCATGATATTGGATGCAAAATGGCAATTTTCTTAGCATATGAGAATTTGTGGATTTTTCTGAAATTTATTGTTTATTTATATATGCACATAATCATGAAATAACAAATGGTTGAGGACACGTGAGATGGGAATTGTTGCTACACTTGGATAACTATAGAAATTCAAATGTTATATATGTTGAAATGCATTGGAAAGTGTGAGGGCCGAATATTGGGAGTCATAGGGATGCCGAATAATTGAACTCAAGGTCGAGATATATAGCACTCGGCTCCATCTCACAAGCTTGAATCTTATCCTATTCGGCCAAATAGCCGGTCAAGCAAGGGGCTGAGTGAAAAGCGATTTTTTACAATTGAAGCTGAATATCAAATTGAGAGTGGACCCGACCTCAACGCCCAAGAAAGAAAAGATATAAATAGAAGAACATCAGCCAGGGAGAGGTAAGTGAGAACTAATATATTTAACTTAGAACACAAGTAATCTTGAGAGTAGAGACTGACTTGTCCGTCGGAGTGCTAATTCCGGCACCCCCGACCGGAGTGTTTATTCCTTTTCAGGTGACTAATAAAGGATCACGAGCGTTCCCCAGGATCAGAAGAGTATTTCCAAACCACTTCTCCACAGAAAGAAAAGTGGAAATTGTGATCACAAACGGAGAGTTTGTGGGAAAGCTTTGTCAATGGTAAGACCATACATCGTATGGGTAATAACTACGTTACACAGTTAATTATTCCATTTGCATGGATAATTGTTGCATTGTCACTCTAATATATAGCTTGTTATAAATATTGAATTGGGAATTGAAACTTGCATTGAGAAAGAATTATTGAGAATTGAGAACTATTGAAATGTTTTAGGGTAAATACGTTGGTAAGTCCGGATAAGAGGTGTAGATGGAATTGATTAAGTTGGCCTGACTGTCTGGGGTGAAGGACCAAAAACACACGCGGAGGAGGTACCACTTCCCTTCCAGTTAGCAACTAGTAAAGTGGGGTTTTGGTAGTGTTAGTTATGCCTACTTGCAGACACCAACCTAGGGATTAGCTGAGTCGTATTTACCGCCCCTTTGAATAAAATTGTAAATTTTTCTAAATTGTTGAGACTTCAAGTTTGTGGGGAAGTGGTTTGGAAATACTCTTCAGATCCTGGGAGATGCTAGTGATCCTCAGCTAGTCACCTGCAAAGACATAAACACTCCGGTCGGGGGTGCCGGAATTAGCACTCCGATGGGCAAGTCAGTTCTTCTATTCAAGAAAGCTTGTCTTCTAAGTTTTTATAAAGTGATTCTTACATACCTTTTCAAGTCCGTTGTTCCTGTAATTATATATGTTCCTTTTGGGCCTCGGGGCCAGGGCCTACTTTTCAATCATTACCCGTTCTTCTATTCGGCTCCAAGGATCTTTCCTTATTCGGCCTACGTATTATCTTCGGCCCCCTTACTCTTGCGGGATGTTGCTGATTAATGTCAGCCTTCTAAAATATGCCCCTTCCGGCTTTGCTGAATATTCGGCTCCCACAATTGCCGCCCGAACTCCCTATTGACAGTAGTTAATCGGCGTGTTTGGTCTAGAATTCAAAAAGTTAAAATAGGTTAGGTGGCTTCGCGTAATCCCAATATAGATGTCAGATAGCGGACACTTTTTCGTTCATCATTACACTTTCCCGCCTCATTCATGCGTCTCTCGCATTTATTGCGATTTGAAACTTCAGTCCTTTCGGGTGCACATTTCATCGATTCTTTGACACCCTTGGGCCGCCAGCTCGTATCCCTTCTCTAACTCGCATTTTCTGTAACTTTTGTCCGTCTACCTTTGTCTCATCTGCTCCTCGTAAGTCTTCTTCCCTTCTCTTTGTAATCCTACTTTCTATTTGTTATTTTACTTTCGGCAAATACTCGGATCTCCATAAAAATGGCTAAGCACTTGAAAGACCTCCTTTCTGAGGGTCGTATTTCTGGATTCCAGTGACACTTTTTCATTCCCGACGACGTCCATTTATCTCTTGTAATGGACAATACTCTCGATATGGAGAGGGAGGATCAAAATACGATCGTATTCCCCTTCTTGTCCATTGCGGAGGGCGGGGTCTGTTTTCCCCTACATCCATTGCTTAGGGCCGTCCTTCGCTATTGGAGTCTGATTCCTTCTCAACCCAATGTAAATTTCTTTCGAATCATTATGGGGGTTGTAGAATTGAATCGACGCCTTAGGATCAATCTTGGGATTCCGGCCATTCGGCACGGCTATGCTTTAGCCAAATCTTCTGGTCGGCTGGGGCGATACTTTCTCAGGGCCAAGGATACTGAACACCACTTGGTGACTATGCTTGCCAGTTCTGGTAAGAGGGTTGACGACGTAATGGTCAATGTTCGAGGTAATTGGGAGTTCGCTGAAGGCAAAGATTTCCTAGACCCTATCCCCAGACATAAGGGTGATCCAGGTTGCCACATAATATCTCATGTTTGTTGATCTGTCTTTTAATCGGCGTTCTTCCCTTAATCACTCCTTATCTTTTGCAAGTAATAAATTGAAGAAGATTCTAACTTCGGTCGACGATATAGTCCTTGGGGAAGTCAAGACTACACTCGGATACTTCGGCTGCCCAAACGTGCAAAAGCAAGGGAGAGCTGCTCACATTCTCCTTCGGTACGAACCTACTTATACTACATTCTCGGCCGCGGACAACATTCCAATTCCAGCTGGCGATCAACACCTCTCGGCTCTTATCTTCCCCAGCTTCAAGAACCTTAGGCAAATTGGTCTCGAAGCTTCTAATTCGGGGCAAGACGCAAAGCCGGTGGTAGAGGTAGTTTCTGAGCCAGCCAGAGAATTCGCTGAGGAGGCCGAAGAGGTCGACGAGGCCGTACGTTCGGCGTTTGAGGCTGCCAGACTTAACCAGCCTTCCTCACCATCCACTTCGGACCGGGTAGAGTTTTCTTCTGGAGATATTTCCGCGAATTTGGGAGATTTACCCAGCGATTTTTTCGAAGGTATGGCAAAGGAAAGCCTGACGCAGATGGTGCGCAAGAGAAATGCCGAGCGAATTGCTGCTCGAAAAAAGGCCGAGGCCACAGATCCTGATCCCAGCTTGATTAAATCCTCCGTACCCATTGTTGAAGGGACGGTTCAAGTTGCTACGGTCGAAACGAAAAAAGAGGGTGAACAACAAGCCGGTGAAGAATGGCTGAGTCCGGAGGAGCGGGGCCAAAAGCGTAGCGCCGAGGGAGAAGCTAGTTCAGAAATTGGTCCTGCTGACAAACGACCTCGCCTCGAAGAATCGAACGTGGTTGCCCCTTTTGTCATTCAGCCAAAGATCAGAGATACGCCGATTTCTTCAGACGCTTCAGCCATTGAGGATCCAGCCGTGGCGTTGAGCCTGGCGGCTTCAATTTCTTTGCCGGCTGACAACGCAGCCTTTTGCGCCGTGCCAGATATTATGGCCGTAGCCCTTTCTGCGCAGTCGGCACTCCTGGTAGGTGACCTCAAATTCGCTTAAATATGTTTTTATAAAGGTATCTAACGATCCTAGTTTATTTTTTAGACGGTCGGCAGGATCGCCGACTTAGGCCGCCGCCTGCATGATGCCCTTGGAAGAATTGACCGTTTGCAAATAGAAGTGCACGGTCAGAAGAGTAGGGCCGGGTTTGAAATAATGAGAGCCGCAATGGAGAATGCGGGAGCCGAAGCAGAGAAGAAGAGGGCTTGCACTGCTGAACAGCTTCGTTCTGACGCTGAGGCTAGGGCGAATGCGAGCAAAGAATCGCTCAAGTTCTGCAAGGACGCACTTGC